AGAGTGAGACTCTGTCTCAAAAAAAAAAAAAAAAAGAATGACTGTACCTGGGGAAGGGAGTGGAATTATGGGTTGGAGCCTGAAGAGGGACTTTTACTTTTTACTTAGAATGCTTATGTATTGTTAGATTCTTTTTTCACAATGGGAATTTATTCATTTATTGTCCTTGTATGATTTCACTTGATGCATACAGTGGAGAGGCAGGGTAGAAATTATTATTCCAGTTTCCTTATGAGGCTCAGAGTTGTGAAGTGACTTGCTTAGCGTCACACAGCTAATGAGGAGTGTGTACAGAACCTTGAACCCAGGCCTTGTGACTTCCTAGCCTAGTGTTCTTCTCCTTGTACCAGGCTATCTGGGAGATGATGATGGAGAATGAATCCTTATATGAATATGATACTACCTTATTACCTGCGTCACAGCAACTCATGCTAATTCCCAAGGATTCCTAGAGCCTTATGGCCTCTTTTTGAAATGCTCTTTAGATAAGCTTCTTCAATCCATGTGAATTTTCAAATCTTACACTCAGAATTACCCATTGTGCCCCCAATTTAGGGATATTTGCAGTGGACTAGGGAAAATATTCCAGTAGTCATTAAGTCTCCAATTGAACAAAAATAACAATGATAACATCAAAATATAGCTACTAACATTCTTTTTTTCCTCCTGTGGTTATCTTGCCTGTTGCCTGCCAAGTTAGCAGCAGATGATGCTATAAGCAGTAGGAATGAAAGGAGAGATCTCTAACCTTACTACCTTCTTGGGATCTGCTTCAATCCTAAGCATGAAGAACATTAGCTTTCTAGGGGAATCAGAATTCTTGGGAACATGGATAGGAAGTTCATATTAAAAGGACAGAGCTAGGTGGGAGCTTTGAGTGGTAAAGGATTTAGGTTTGCCAAAAAACCGACCTGAAGCATCATATAGGGCCCTGAGTACCACTGTAAACTGTTTCACGTCTTATCACTGATAGTTCTCTCTACCTATTATGGTGTCACTAGGCCACTTGCCTAGCAGTTCAAAGCATCATTATGAAAATAAGTCCTATCCATGATCCAGAACACACAACCGATGAGACAACTACACTCCTCTGTGAAAACCAGCCTACGTGGCCTTACCTCAGGAATAGCATTGCCTATCACCAGCCAGGCCTTCTTACCCAGGAACAGAAAATAATTACATAGTAATACTGCATGTTCTTCTTCATCTCCTGCCAGGAGATCAAGGAATTGCTGACGAAAAGAAAAAAAAACATACATTGACTGCCTGCTTTATTTTGGGTTGGCTGTGCAGGATTTTGATATGTCACAGTTAAAATTAGTGCCTTAAAGTATATTTTTTTCAACTCTTTCCCCAAATTTTGATACTACGCTGTTAATTCATTTAAAGAAAACACTTTTTGTGGACATGGTATTTTCTCTGATAATGATGATGTGGATTTTTAAAAATACTCACTATGATTGGGGTAGGGGAGAAAAATTTCAAAGTTTTACTTTCAACTTGAATGTATATATGATAGTTCACTATGCGCTAAATAATCTTTAAGGCACATTGCATTCATTGACTCATTTAACGTAGAAAAACCCTTTGAGGGAGGTGCTCTTATTTTCCCACTTTGTGGATGAGGAAGTGGAGGCACAGATCAGTAAGGAACACCTAGGAAGTGGTAAAGCCAGTCTGGCTCTAGAGCACATGAACTATTCTATTTGTATGTTTTCTTACAGATGTCTTAAGGTTGTAGAAATTTTATTTCTAAAATTGTCAACATTTATGTTGCCAAAATATATTGGGGAACAAAAAATTTAAAGTACATTTAAATTTCTTTGATTTAGGGCTATCCTTCAAAGGAAGTTGTATAAGAACAGTTCAATTTTGTGCAAAAACAGGACTACATGAGATTCAGAAACAGAATTAATACATGTGTTATGTATGTTTGTTTTATTACTACCCAAGAACCATTTGAAAGTTTATGTAGCATATGCAGATTATAAATTCCATGAG